AGTGCTTCTGCATGGGAATCCATGAAAGCGGCTTCGGCTGCTTCGTCGTGGTCTGAAATACATACCCAACCTCGCTGTTGGGGTGGTTTTGGGAAATCTACCCCGCTCCAAACTTCGACCATTGTGCGTTTGAGTGTTCAGTTTCTCCGTAAGAAACCTTCCTACTNGGCTGCTTCGTCGTGGTCTGAAATACATACCCAACCTCGCTGTTGGGGTGGTTTTGGGAAATCTACCCCGCTCCAAACTTCGACCATTGTGCGTTTGAGTGTTCAGTTTCTCCGTAAGAAACCTTCCTACTTCCTCTCTTGCTGTTTGGGCTTGTTCCTGACGGCGTCATGCATCATGACGTGCTCCTCGGCAGAGATAGTTGGATGCGGTTTAGTGACCGTTCTTACCGCACTTTGCGTGCGAAACTTCCTGGGGACCGTGTCTTTGGTGAGCTTACTTTAGCCCAACAGGACACTTGTGGTCCCACTGCATTTGCTCACGATCTGTCCGCAACAGATGGAAGTTACCAACTTCGCTATGCAGGCAAACATTCCGTTCAACTTCACCCAGAGCATAGCCTCATTTAGGTCAATTTGGTACGCAATGATGGTTCGCCTGCCCTTGTGGGTAACTATTTGGTGGATATGCTCCCCCAATGTGCTATGTTTTCTTCCGAAGAACATTTTGTGCAAAATGGTTGCCAACAAATCCCTCTTGCGGGCATCTCGTCTCTCGAACCCGGCGACGTCCTGGGTACAGCTTCGGCTCCCCTTCTTCGCGTGCCTCTTAGCGCTGTTTCTCGACGCAGTTTGAGTTATGGTCTTGAAACTGCGGCTTCAGAACCCACCGCTGCTTCAGGCAGCTGGGTCCCTGGTCCTGTTTCTGCGGGTGGCATTGATTCGTCTGCCACGCACTCCGTCTCTGACCCCTTCGTGTATAATATACACGAGCGACCCGCCCCGTCGCCAAGGACTTTGGTTCCGCCAGTTCTCCCTCTTCGTCGCCTCCGCCTGCTCTTCTCGAGCGGTTGACGCCAGAACAGCGTCAAAGTTTCTCCCAAGTCTGGGACAAGCTCCCCTGCCATATCCGTGAGATTACTTGTGATCTCCACGGCCCGAGTTGGACTCCCGATGTCATTACTCAGCTTGGTAACGTCTTGTGCGAATACCATGATGTGTTTTCGAGTTCTCCGACTGACTTGGATCTTGCTCGCTTTTTCCTTTTAAGCTTACAGTTCCCCCTGGCAGCGCACCCGTCACGTCTCGCCCCTATCGCGTTAATCCCCCGTTGGCGAAACAAGTTGACGCCATCCTTGACCAATATCTTGTGGCAGGTTTGATCCAACATTCGACCTCGCCTTACTCGAGCCCTTTGGTAGTCATACCGAAGAAATCTGGTGGTGTTCGCATCACCGTCAATTATCGTAAGCTCAACAAGCTTTGTGCTTTGAGTCAGCTTCCGATTCCTCGAGTCGATGATACTTTGGACAAGTTGTTGAAAGGGCGAATTTATTCCCTTTTCGACATGATATTCTCTCCACCAAATCACAGTGCACCGTGATACAATCCCTCTGACGGCATTCGTGACGTCTTCGGGGCTTTTCGAGTGGTTGAAGATGCCTCAAGGCAGTTCGGCTGCCGCTGGGTGGTTTTGTAAAGTTGTCAACGAAGTCATCAAAAATCTCCACGGTGTTGCATCGTACTTGGATGATTTGATCGTCTTTGATGACACCCCTGCTACTCATGTTGGTACCATGCGCGCACTCTTTGAACGCTTGCGTACGTACAACTTGAAACTCACGCCTCCGAAAGCTACTATTGGCGCTACCAAAGCAGACTTCCTCGGACACACCATCTCCCCTGACGGCGTTAGGCCTAACGGTACCAAGGTTTCGGCCCCCACCAAAATTCCTATGCCCAGGGATGTCAACCAACTGCGTTCCCTTCTCGGTGGTCTCAGCTACTACCGTAAGTTCCTCCCCAACATGGCTAAACGCATTCGACCTCTGACTACGCTACTCAAGAAGCAGGAGAAGTTTATCTTCGCCCCTTCCATGGAGCAAGCCGTTCGCGTTTTGTTAGCTGAGTTGGCCAATCCCCCTGTTTTGGTTTATCCAGATTGGGATGCTGTTTCAGACGGCTCGCGACCTTTTCATCTTTACTGTGATGCTAGTCGCGATGGGTTTGGTGGGACTCTCGAACAAGAACAGCCAGATGGTTCCATTCGCCCAATTGTCTTCATCAGTCGGGCTACTTTGGACTCAGAAGGCCACTGGACTCCCCTCGATCTCGAAGCGGGTAGCATCGTGTGGTGTATCAAGCGCCTTCGCGGCTTCTTGTGGGGTACAAAATTTCGCATGTTTACCGACCACAAATCTCTCGAGCATTTTGCTAAGGTGGGGGAGAACAATGCCCGCGTTCAGCGCTGGCTGGTCTCGTCTTCATCGGGCATTTGGAACGTCGCTTCCTTGTCGCCCAAGATCGCTCCCTTGCCATCCGAGATGTTCTGCCGTTCGGTGCGGTCGCGATTGCGCAATCGACCTCCCATGGTTTGGTCCGGTTCCCTACCTCAGTCGTTCGATGATGTTTTGGCTCTCGAGCCCGAGCCTCCGACTGCCGTTCCCGCTCTTGGAAACCCGCGTCGGATCCTCGACCCCACCCAAGTGATCTCCACCAGGACTCGCCGTCGCAAGGCAGCTGTGGCTGGCACGCCACTGCCGCCTGTTGATTATGTTTTTTCTGACGATGAGCCTTCTTTGTCTCCCACGCGGATTTCCGCTCCCTCTCGACCGTTTCGGCGGTCTCCGACGGCGACGAAGGCGCCGTCGATGACACCAGCCTTGCCCACTTTGGTTTCGACTACTGGTGCTGGTGGTTTATTCTCGACTCCCTCCGCGCCTCTGGCTCATGGAGTGGAGCCTGCGTCTCCGACGCCTGCCACGACTGCGGGTGTTCCTGCTTTGTAGCCTCCTGCAGACGCCGGCTCTTGGGAGTCTTTATCGCGTTTGGTGTCAACCGCTCGCGCGTATTCGCCTTCGTCCTCCATTGCTCCTCTATCCTCGGATGGGTTGCAGTCGGCGCCTCGCGAATCAGCCCCCTCTTCTATCAAGGCGGCTTTACATTCTTCGGGGGATTTAGCCTCCCGGACGTCCGTCGAACGTTTCTCGCATACTGATTGGGCTTGCGAGCAACGTAACGAACCTGTGTGTGATGCAGCCATTCGTTTCATCCTTTTGGGTCGGCCTTCGGCCCTCCCTTCGGATTTCTTGGACCGTGTTCCGTCCGCTTGTCGACACTCTCTTTTGGAGATTCGTGACCTGTCTAACAAAGGCCGGTTGCATGTTGACGATGATGGTTTGGTCTTGCTTGTTCGCAAGCAAACAACGACCCCGTCGTCCACGACCGCACGTGCTGGCGGACGTGCTGCTCGCCTTCTTAACGATGACCCATTCGGATTTATGTTCCCATGCTCATGCGTCCGTCGATCATGCAAGTCTGCCACGCTGATGCGTCCTGTCACCTCGGTGCGGCTCGCACGCTTAGCATGCTGGAACGTCTCTATTGGTGGATTGGCATGAGTGTTTGTACGAAATGGTGGGTGCGGCATTGTTTGCGATGCCAAGCCCGTAAATCGTCTCGTCAGACTCCTCGGTGGCCTACCATGTCCCTTCCTTTGCCTTCGGGCCCTGGTGTGTCGGTGAGTGTTGACTATTTTGGTCCACTTCCGTTGACACCGCGTGGCAACACATACATTCTTCCCTTTACAGACCGTTTCAGCCGCCGTGCTCATATGTACGCGGTTACGGCTGCAGAATTCACCGCCGAAGGCATAGCTGACATACTTGTCAACAGGTATATCCCTTTTTGGGGTTGCCCGTTAAGTCTTTTGTCTGACAACGGCTCTCAGTTGTGTTCTTAACTGTCCCAAGCCGTGTATGCCCGTCTTGCTATCCGCAAAGTGGCTACTAGCTCGTACCATCCCAATGGAAATGGGGGTGTGGAGCGCGTCAATCACACTATGGCTCAAATGTTGGCTATGGTTGTCAACGAACGACAAGATGGTTGGGACATTCATCTCCCACACGTCGCGTTTGCTTACAACAATTCCGTTAGCGCCGCTACCGGTTACGCGCCCAATGAGGTGCATACGAATCGATTGCCTCGTTTACCGATGACTGTTCTTGAGCATCCTTCGCTCGTGGCCACCAAAGCTTGCATCGTGATCAACTCGAATATTGCGATCTTGCTGCTGATCGCCAACGTCGTTCTTACGACTTGGTGCGCGAACAGCATAACCTGTCCGTTTCGCGGATTGAGCGGCGTAATTCCACCCTATCGGACGCCTTCCATAAGCTTCCTTCTTACACTGTTGGTTGATTGGTTCGGATGTATAACTCAGAATCTACTATTCGACAAGGCGTTCGTTCAGGCACAGATGATAAGGTTCTCAAAGCCAAGTTATCTCTACTCTGGACTGGCCCCTTCAAAATCTTGGCGGTCGGTCCATGTTCTGACAGCCCTGACGGTCGTCCTTTGGCTTCCAAGTTGCTTTTCTTGGATCTTCCTTCGGATCTGCCGGGCCAAGACTCGAAACCTCGTGTTTCGGTTGTGCGTTGCAAGCCTTGCGCCAACCCGCATGACACCGATGACCTGCCGTGCTTTCTGCCTGCTGGTCTTACTCCGTATGTCCTGAATTATTTTGCTAACAAATCTCCTCCCTACCATGTTACGGAAGACGACGTGTCAACTCCGGTTGACGTTTAACGCATTAGTAGCCACCAGTCCGTCCGTGGTCGTGGGGGCACGATTGCTGTTTTTTATCGGACACACCGCCAGGGCCTTCTGCGCCCTTCTTGGGAGCGTGAGATGGACCTGCAGCATTCCAAGCCGCACATTCTCCGGTACTGGGCAGGTTCGGCTGACCAACATCGTTTGGCGAACAAATCGCCGTTACCGTGCGATGCGCATTGGAGCCGCTACCAGGGAATTGGCGCGTGCTCAAGGTACGCGAGCTTTGCCTTCGGGCTACTCGCTTGTTTCCCGTTCAACATGGGACCGTCGCTTCGCCAACACCCCTCTACCGGTGGGCGCCTTCTTCTGGTACAAGGCACAAGATGGACTCTGATGGTTGGGCAAGATTTCTGGACCACCTCTGCCGTCTGACTTCTACGTCGTCCGCTTCTTGGACGATCCTGGGTCAAGCTCGCCATCCCGATGTTCGCTACTCTACCGTTGAAATCGCCGTCTCCGGATCCTGGTGCCTCCACGTACACAGCGGCAGCGCTCTATTCAAGGGCGTTCTTCGCAGCATCGACATGTCGCGTGGCGACGTTGTGACCGCTCCGTTGTCTGATGACGTCGCGCGCCCACGTTAAAATGGCATGTTTGGTTGCTTTTGGCTTCTGTTGCTCTTGCAATAGCATTAGATCATTTGTTTCCGTTTTTTCGTTTTCTTTCTTTTGTTCAATAGTCCCCCAGGTCGAGCTTTCTCTGTTCCCTGCCGAGGTATTGCCAGTTTTTGTTTAGTGTCACGACCCCTCTTCTTCTTGGTTTCGCTTCCGAAACGTTTGGTTTACAGCCTTTTGGTACGTTGTGATGCTCTTGTACTTTTTCGTATATTTTTGCCTCTAATTCTTAGAGCTTGCAGGCTACAGGTGTTTCGTGACCTTTGTTGTCGCTCCCACGGCACCGTAATGATTATTTGGCGTATCTTTTCATTTTGTCGATACAGGCCTTTTCTTTCACGGTTCCTTTTTCGTCGCCCCGGCGACGCTTATTTTGTTCGTTTCTTTCATGTCCTATTTTCCCCTTTCTTTTGGGTTCTGACCTGTTTATGGTATTTGTAGCCTTCGCCTGTTGCGGCTCTCCCGTTGGTTTCCTCTCTGTTAGCCCCAGTTTAGTACTTCCTGTACCTCCTTATTCTAGGTCAAACGATGGTCTTGCGACCCATCGAGTGAGAGGTGTGGGAGGGTAAATTGTGGTATTTTGGAGCTCCGCATCCTCGATACTCTCATTTGGGATTTGACAAGTAATTGTCAAGTTCCGAGATTTAGTATCTGCGTATGAGAACCTCCAGGGTAGGCTAGTGTTATGGGATTTGAATGTGTAGGAAAGTACAAACGGTAGTGCGGGCTAATGCCCAGAGAAAAGTGCGGGAGATGCAACTCCCCACGGAAGGACAAAACAAGGGACAGGATCTAGTAGCCCCTGCTTTTGCAGCTGATCCTGGCCCCATCCTAGTCAGTCCTCTACCTTCCCTTGGCAACAGCTACTGCTGTTCCACACGATTTAATAACAAGTGAGTTCGTCTTCACGGGTCTCCCAGATTGCACCGCGCGTGCATATCTTTACACTCGACCCAGGATAAGGCCGGGACAGTCTTGTGATATAAGCCTTTAGCTGGGTTTGTGTTCTGATGTGGAGCACTGCGAACCAATCACAAGTGAGGTGTGGTTCTACTAGCAAGGGTGCTTCTGCTAGTACTTCGGGTCCAAAGGATGTTTGGTCAATACTACTGTCAATGCTCGTGGTATGGTCACGGGTCTCTGATGTGCACAAGAGGTAGAGTCGAATGTGGTCTCTTTAGTCAGCCTGAAGGTGAACTCCTGATCAGCAAGAACACTACTGTAACTCAACCGCTTATCAATCCAATCTCACGAGGCTGTCCAATGCTATGCTAAGGCGTCACACTCAACACAACGCTATGGGGACGGCAGTCACGGTCACCTAAACCCTAGTCGAAGCTATGCCAAGCGGCTTCTGAGNGTCACGGGTCTCTGATGTGCACAAGAGGTAGAGTCGAATGTGGTCTCTTTAGTCAGCCTGAAGGTGAACTCCTGATCAGCAAGAACACTACTGTAACTCAACCGCTTATCAATCCAATCTCACGAGGCTGTCCAATGCTATGCTAAGGCGTCACACTCAACACAACGCTATGGGGACGGCAGTCACGGTCACCTAAACCCTAGTCGAAGCTATGCCAAGCGGCTTCTGAGCAAAGGGGGTGGCTGTAGGAGAACTGAAAGCCAGAATAATCCAAATACATTGGGGACTCCGGGGAAACGGGGATAACTTCAACCATACGGTTACAATCTGCGGAGCTTCCTACAACATTGACCCACCCTTGCTTTTTCGCGGAACAATTACCCTAAAACATTTTGTGGAAAAGCAAACAACAAAAACGGTAGGAAGCTCTTCGAAATAATCAAAGTACTCCCCGCCCTCCCATGTACCGTTGCTAAATACTTAAAACAAAGGACCACTCCATATATTCATGATTGCTCCTCCTACAAGGGTTCCGACATTTTCTCGGCGTTTCTTACTACGACATGCATCTGATTGCGGGATATTCTCCTCCATACTGGACCCCTAGTGGGAACTTTGCTGAAATGGTGTGAAAGGCTTCAATTCTTGGCCCATCCGACCCACCCATATCAAGACATACTTCGTGCGGTTCCAGATTAATTGGGCTGGAACCAACTGTTCTTCCCTCGTGAACGTACTTTCAAATTCCTTACTTGCTGAACCATTCTGCCCCAGATGATCCCCACTACCGCCTCAACCAAGCAGGATTATAAATAACACTGGAATGCCACCGACAGCCCCATAGAACACCAGAGTTTTGCCCCTGGCCCATAGGCCCTGCCGAGGACACCCAACGCTGCCCAACCCTGGGACGCCACTCACAGCCCCATAGAAAACCAGAGTTTGATCCCTGGCCCATAGGCCCTGCCGATGACACCCAACGTTGTTCTTCCTCCTACCGAGCTGACCGGTATCACCCTGTCTCTTNTTCTGCCCCAGATGATCCCCACTACCGCCTCAACCAAGCAGGATTCTAAATAACACTGGAATGCCACCGACAGCCCCATAGAACACCAGAGTTTTGCCCCTGGCCCATAGGCCCTGCCGAGGACACCCAACGCTGCCCAACCCTGGGACGCCACTCACAGCCCCATAGAAAACC